TTAGGCTCTAAATGTCGCTTAGTATCTGTGGCTACCGCAGTGGCATGCCACTGTGCACCTAAACGTTAAAATCTTTGCTATGAATCTCTTAGGCTTTCGTAGAACCCTTCTGGAGCTGGCAGTCCTAAGGACCTATTTGCTTGGCCATATGATGTTCCTGGCCTTGCTGATGTGAGAATTCTGCCATTATCATAACCTATTATTTTCCCACATGGAAATACTAAGAAACCATCCAATAGAAATCTCATGACTACCAGAAATATTAATCCTAAAACTTTTTTTTTTAATGTTATGGAGTTTTCTTAAAGGGAGAATCCAAAACATGGGGCATAAATTTGAAGTGGAAATGAGACATTTGAAAATAAAGAACTAAATTGTCTATGTGTAGAAGATCGGTGTCATTCAGCAAAGATAAGGAAAGTTAAAATTTAAATAAAGGAAGCAAAAAAGAGAAGAGGAAGTAGCTGGGAAGAGGGAATGAATAGTAAATAAAGGGACGGTTTTGACTAAAGAACAGACACCTACAGAACCTAAATTATTGTGGTGACCTCGTGACGCCTTTCTTCTTGGCTCCATCCTACATTCTTCTAATGACAGCTTTCTAGAAATTCAAATGTAATCCTATCAGCCATTCATGGTAGTAATTTTCCACTTAATCGCATTAAATTTTTATTTACTTATTTATTTGTTTGTTTTTAATTTGGCTTGCAACACTCAACTACTGGCAACGTACGTTGTACTCTTACAGAGTGAATTGCAATTCCAAATACTTCCCACCGTCCTTGTCCAATTATATGTGGGCTTTCCTGTTTCATAAATGCCCCTGTCTTCCTGATAGTCTCATGAGTTTTCTCTCAATCTCTCACTTCTCTATAATCCTTCCACAGTGCCCCTCAGCTGTATGGAGGCTGAAACACCAAAATAGACTTTAATTATTTTATTGAAAAATTCCTGAACCTTCATGACCTAACACAAGCATCAAACATAACAAAACTGTCAGTGTTCTCAACACCTTTGTGACATTTGGTTGCTCAGGGTTCCAACTGGGTGTATCTTTTCTTTTCTTTTCTTTTCTTTTTTTCTTTTCTTTTCTTTTTTTCTTTTCTTTTCTTTGTGTGTGTGTGTGTGTGTGTGTGTGTGTGTGTGTGTGTGTGTCTTTTTAACCAAATAGAGATAATGCTCTTTTTTTTTTTAAATCAGTAAATGCATAGCTGTTTTCTTTGGCAGTTGATATAGTTGAAAATTAATTTTATCTGTGGTGTTTAGTCATAACTCAGGCTCCACGTCTGTGTTCATTCTTTCAGTTTGCACTGAGGGTTCATGCTCATTCATTATTCGATTTGAGGTCTCTCTCTCTCTGGTAACTATTCATATTTTTGAACCACAATACCTTGTCTGTTTGGACATTTCCCAGTTATTTATTCACATCCTCCGAAACGTTTTCCAAATGAAATGCTAAATGAAACTGTCACACCGATCACACAAGTTTGCATGCGCGCCGCCCTGCTAAGATTCACAAACTGATTGGCGTGCCCGTTTGACACGCAGCATGGTGTAGGGATGAAAATGTTCCAGTTCCACAAGATTTTCAAGGTTTGCTTGCTTCCAACCATGTTTTAGATCTGGTCTGTCACACATGCGTAACAGCGATCATTCAGTTCCCACATTGACTAGAGATGACACAGAAGATATTAAGAAACCTAGCACTTTGATATCAAGGCTTGTGTTTCTTTGATAAGAAAATTAAAGATCCGTTGGGCTTTCAAGCCCTTAAAAATATATCAGAATAAGCGTATCGAAGTAAAGCTTGTCAGTGGGTGTAAATCTGTTTGAACATCAAATAATGAGACCATGGCGTCTTCTGCAAAACACCTTTCAGGTCCAGGAAAATTAATCTATGAAGTTTAAAGAATGTTGAAAACAACGTAACTGCTATCCATTTCCCCGCAGCTGGGTAAGGGAGCTGGGCTGGGAGTGCCAAGGGCTCCCAGGCGCCCCTCAGAGAGCTCACTGCTCCTTGGGCGGGGTCATCGCCGGTGGGCGTGGGCCGGGTTGGGGGCAGCGCCCGCTCTCTCGTTAGCGGAGCCTGCGGCCGCTAGTTCACACAAGTCTCAGCCTGGGGACCGATGAGGGAGTGTACTTTGCTCATTCTCCCGGAAAGCTCCAGGCTTCTTCCAGATCCTCCTGATGCTGCCTCAGCCCAGGAGAGAGGGGTGGAGTTTGCATGATGTCACCCAACACAGCTCTGTGTACACACATAAACCCAAAATACAGGCTGAGATCAGCAGTGCGCCTTTGTCCCGTGCTCGGGAAATGGTGGAGCTCTTGCACAAAGACCTTCGGAGATTTCGCTGTTTCTTTTTCCTTTTTAATAGAAATTCCATGTTAACAACTAACATGTCCAGATGGGTGTAGAGTGAAAAATAAGTGTCTGTTTCCTCTCACACCGTGTTGCCCAACTCAGTACTCCCAATCCTAAGAGCTGATCAGCATTTACAGTGTTCTGTTATCTACTTAGAAATGGTACGCGAGCCTACACGTGTACAGATGTATAATGTGTGTGTGCTTGTGTGTCTTTTCATAGAAGTTGACAAGTAGAATCCTGCAGTCCATTCTTATCTACAACTTGATTTTCTTTCAATTTACCAACATCTGGACAACCTCCTAAACCAGTGTGTAAAGTTCTACCTTATTCTTGTAAAGAGCTTCACAGTAATGCATTGTATAGATGTGCTGTAAGGTTTTTAATGACACTCTTAAGGAAATGTGGAACTTTCCAACATGTAAGATATTATGAACAATGCGTAATGAACACCTTTGTTCGTGTCTTAGTGTGCTCTGGATGCCATAACACAATACCATAGACCATGTGGCCTGAACAACAGAAATTTACTTACCACAGTTATGGAGGCTGGGAAGTCAGTCCTGGTGAAAATCCTCTTGGGGATTTCTGGCAGATGGCCACCTTCTCTCTGTGTCCACACGTGGCAAAGAGAGAGAGAAAATGCTTAGATTTCTCTTCCTCTTCTTATAAGGACACTAATCCCATCATGGGCGACCCATCATCATGATTTCATCTAAACCTGATTACCTCCCAAAGGCCCTACATCCAAATGCCATCACAGTGGAGGTTAGGGCTTCAGTGTATGAATTTGGGAACACAAACATGCAGTTCATTGTACTTTATATATCTTTGCATCTTGGAGTAAATTTTTTATATAAAACGTCTTGTTAGAAATTATATTGCTAGGTCAAAGAATATATACTTTGTATTTTTTATAAACACTAATAAATCGCTGCCAGTAAGTAGTACGTGAGAGCATCATAGCCCCATATCATCTCCACTCTGTTTATTGCTAAGCTTTTAAATGTGTTCTGATCCAATAGGCAAATAATGGCATCTCATTTCATTTCTAAAAAAGATTAAGAGTGAGCTTGAACATCTTCCAAAGGATTATTGACCACTTGCATTTTGGTCCTTTGAATTACTTCTTAAATTCTTTTGTTTACTTTTGCATTGAGTTATTTGTCATTTTCCTTATTGATTTTAAGATTTGTTTTTATATTTAAGAAAAAAGTCTCTTGCGATGTGAATTGTGTATACCCTTCCCAGTTGTTGTGTGACTATTGGGGTGTTCCAGTTGCCTACCACTTTATAATAAATTATTCCATGTCTTTAAAAAACTGATTTCAGTTCTCAAAATTCTGAGGATCATGAATCTGAGCAGAGCACAGTGAAGACAGGGCGAGTTTCTGTGTGATACCTGCTGGGGCTGTGACGTCCCCGATGGCTTTGTCACTCCAGATCTCTGGAGCTCAGCTAAGGAGCTTGGAGGGCTGGTGGCCAGCTGGAATGGCTATGACCATGGTCATAGTTCTGAGGCTTTGGTTCCTGTGTCAGCTGGGTTATTCATACTTCCTCAGTGTAGACTCAAGGGCTCCGCATGACCTCTCCATCTGGTACCTCCTGCAGGGTAGCTGGACTTCTAACTTGGCAGCTGAGGGCTCCCAAGAATGCAAAGGTAGGAGCTGGGGTCTGAAACTTCTATCACATCCCGTTGGTTAGAGCGGGTTGCACTCCCTGCTCAGATTCAAGGGGAAGGAGCTATACAAGGGCATCCTTCTTCAAGGTACAGGCTTTTCTGGCGACCACCAGTATAGCAGACTACTAGGTTCTTTTTGCTTTGTTTTTTGTTTTATTGCTATAGAAAATTTCAAAAACTCTTCTTGGTGGTCAGATACTTTTATCTACTTCTTTCTGGCTTCTGGTTTTAGTGTCAGCTTAGAAAGGATTGCACTATTCCATTATTATAAAGCTTTCACCCATTGTTTCTTCTAATAATTCCAGTACTTTGCTTTTTTTCACTTTTAAATGTTTGTTTTATCACGATTACTTTTAAAGAAGAAATGATGATATGAATTAAACTTTGCTATTTTTAATCTGTTTCAGTGCTTTCTATGGAATAATTCTTTATTTCCCACTGATTTGAAGTAGTATCTTTATTACATAGTAAATTCCAATTTCTTTTTATACTCTCTGTTTACTGCTCTTCCTTAATTTCCCTACATCAACAATGACACCACACAGTTGTGAATAGCAGATTTTTTTTTCAATATTTTGAGGAACATGGAAGACAGAGACATTATTCAGGGTTGAGTCACATGAGATGGACAGAGGAAGCTCATACCAGAGATAAGATACCTCACTGGGTGCAGCAACTCAGAAAGAGAACTGGCTAAACAAACAAACAAAAACAAACAAACCACAACCTCTGGCGTCACAACTTCCTTTCCAACAGAATATGGAAAGGGGATTTAAACCTTCTTGTAGATACGAAAATAAACAATGATCAAGGAGACTGGATGACTGCGTTCATCTGAGTTATATTTAGTGGGCTTAGCTGCAAATCACTATATCAGATGGTCCCCAAAGGTAGCAGTTCCCGAGTTCCCACCTGTAGAATTGTGCCCAGCTGTATGCCGTGTGTGATGTGGGTAACTCCTTCCCCTCGTCATTAGGGCCGTCTAGGTGGGATGGGACGGGGTGGGACAGGTCCGTGGGCCCAGGTCTTGGCTTCTTCTCTAGGGCCGCCCATACCTGTCCTCTCTCATCCTCTTCCAGCTCCTTCAGAAAATGGTGCAAATGAAAAGAAATGTTACCCTGAGTTTGAGAAAGTATATTTATATTTAAATGTATGCATTTGTAGATTACACACCACACAAAGTTATTACAATAGCATTGACTGTATTCTCCGTGCTGTACATCGCATCCCTGCAGCTGATTTATTTTATAGCTGGTGTGCTATGCAAGTACGTCTGTACACCTGAAACTCATATAATGTTGTAAGTCAACTATACTTCAGTAAAATTTGTTTTAAAAAATGTGATTTTTCTGCTGCATGAATATTTGCAAAATATTATTGTTAGTGATTTCTTCACTGAAGACAGATCCATGTAGCACTACCAGTCTATGTAGTTAATGTGCGGGAAGAATTATTTAAACATTTCACTACTGCCAAGGAAATACTGGCATCTATAACCATGAGAACAGTCATTAAAACATCGATTCATTCTTTCATTAATTCGCTTACAAAGTATTTACGATGTATTCCCTCTATTACAGAGTAGGGTTGGAAATGTATTGTTGCAGAGGCAGAATCTCGTCTGGTCAGTGTAAAACTTACTTTTAGGAGGGAAAATGTTCACACCTTTTTCAGCTGATGAGAGACATCACGTGTCCCGAAAGCTTAGGGAAGGTTCTGGAACCCCAGTCAGAACCACCCTGCAATCATGTTAAACTTTCTATGTCCAGATTATATAACTGCTATTTTTTTTCTTTGAAAACAGCTCCACTGATTTGGGCAATAATTACACAAAAATCTGGATTTTAAATTAAACTCTTAGATTTTTAAAAATCACTTCAAGCAGAAGAAGATTGTAGTAAAATGTAGAATAAAATATTTCTAACCTCTGCCCAGAATGATTTCATACCATCTTACTATACTTTTGTCATCAAGTAGAATTTACTGAATGTCCAGAATATAGCTGATTTGCCAGATACTGGGAGGTACTCTGGAAGTTTTAGAAGACAGGCCTCCACTCTAAGGAACTGATGTGGGAGGGGAGAGGGAAGGAACACGCAGAAGAACTGTTGTGGAAGACACAGCCAGTGTCAACAAGGTACTGACTGTGGATCCAGAAGAGTCTCTGAGACCAAGACTCCTCTGGTCTGAGCACCAGTGATCAGCCCCCGCGACTCTGACTTGCTCGACTGGTTCCTGCTGGTTCAGAGCTAAATTGATTAAATATTGTTGTTCACACACATCTCACAAATTATTAGTTCTGTGTTTCAGTTTCATAGAAAATCCTTTATGTTCTTAAAGTTACACCTGTGCAAGGAGGGCTGTTGTGGTCTCCTAACCTCCGCAAATCCACAGAGCTGGGCGGACCGTCCTGACTAAAATCCCTGTTGTTTATGCGTTAGCCTTCCCGCTTACCCACCGCCGTCCCTTCCTCCGTCTCCAGTGTGCGCGCACGAAAATAAACCAATGGCACGA